GAAGTGGAAACCCTGTATGGAAACCCTGGCCTCTTGCGAGTTTTCAGAAGTGTGCAGGAGTTTTTGGTAACTAATCCCCCGAATTAATGAAGTGCTCAGAGGATTAGTGTCATTAAAGAGAGAAATTCACAGAAGGCCTCCATAATAAATACAAATAAAAATGAATTCTTGGCTTGGATTCTGCCGGTTTGGAAACTGCTTTTGCACTGCAGCCAGCCATCTGGGAATTCCACCACACAACTTGCCCTTGTGAGGGAATCACAGGCAACTCTCTCAACACCAGGTGGGACGCAGCAGTGGAGCTGGAGCTGGAGCTCTGCACTTGATGTAGCCATTATAGCATCCCAAGTTAGACGTTACACCAAACCATGGTTAATGGTTTAGTCTAAAGCTTAGTTTTGGTTTGACTGAGCAGTTTTGGCCACTTCACCTAAAGCTGGAGTGCAAAGCAAACCAAGTGGCCATAAACCATGGTTTGCCATTACATCTGGAAGCTGAAACCATGGTTTGAGTTCCAAGTGATAGTGGAGATTATTATTATTTATCAATTTATATTTATGGTTAACAGTTTTATCCCGCCCTTCTTTCCAATCAGAAGCATTATAGGTGTTAAACACAGGTCAAGTTATCTGGAAAGGGGAGGGGAATGCAGCATTTTTCGGCGCCTTCAAATATGTTGTTATTATTATTATTACTACTACAGAGTTCCCTAGGAAGAAGGATAGACTGTTGGACCACTCTGAGAATTATAGCTCTGTGACGAGAATGGGAGTCTTCCTAATAATTCTCAGCACCCTTAAACTACAGTGCCCAGGATTCTTTGGGGAGAAGCCAGGACTGTTTAAGTGGTATGATACACAAGATTGTACGGTTACCATAATTTGTATTCCAGGTCCGAATGTACTTGGTTTGTTTTTTGTATTTTTCTTAAAAAACGATAAAATACTTTATTAAAAAAATTAAGTAGTATATTCAGCTACTTTAAATATACAGTGCAGGTAGGGTTTGGGTTTAAGCACATGTAACTAGAACCATCTTTTATTCTTTTTATTCCACTCTTTATCCCGCCTCTATTTCTCTCCACTTACTCTGTTTCACAAGCCCCTCAGGAAAGGGACCAGTACTTTTGTTCTTTGTAATGTACCATGTATTATAGATGGCCCAGCAGCAACAACCATGCAGCTGTCAGATCATGTCTGTACTGGATCACTAACTTTAAAGGGGCAAGGTGTGGATAGGGTTATGACCTCTTTTATAGTGGGGGTTTCAGAGCCTCAAAGGCAGAAGTAGCTGCTGCCAGGACAAAAAGGAAGCAACCGGTCACTGGAGATCTGTCACAGGCACCAGAGCCCTGCCTTCAAAGAGGCCACAATCTTCCTGGCACCTTGATGGCCCCAGGTGTTTTCCACTATAATTCCCAGTGCCGGATTTACACAAACGTTAAGCAAACAACATCTTAGGGTCTCGGAGGATGAGTGGCCTCTAAATATACAGTCGCAGCTTGGATCTCAAACGCCTTGGCTCCTGAATAAATCGGCTCCCGAACGATCGAAACCCAGAAGGCACTGTTCCAATTTTCAAACGATTTTTCAGATGCCGAACGTTCGGCGTGGCTTCCGATTGACTGCAGGAGCTTCCTGCAGTCAATCAGAAGCCACACCTTGGTTTCCAAACATTTTGGAAGTCGAACGTTCAGCTTCCAAGGTACGACTATATATATATATATATATATATATATATGTATGTACTCATGTTCAAGTTAACATAATTGGCCATTTATTTTTTACAGAAATGGGGAAAGCAGACTCTGAAAGGACAAAAATATACTCAAAGGCTGCACAATTATTTGTCATATTAGCCCAAATTCCTGCTAGTGAAACATGGTCTCCCTCTCCACTCTTGCACGACCCCATCTGCTCTGGCGGGTCAAAAGAAACCCCAGAACAGCATGCGGCAGGGAAGGAGAGGGGAGATTGTTTCGGCTAGCAAAGCAAAAATGCCTGCACTGATGGAACAATCATGTTAGCTCAAGGCTGAATTCCATCCATTCTTTTTATAAATCTGTGCAGAAAGGACTATAATCTATATCAAAATGTAATTTGGCAAAGTGCCCATATGCCGTCATACAGCACAGGTGGCAGCTGGTGTTCGGTTCAGGTTAATTGCAGACCGCACCCCTTAAAGCATTAAGTCAGTGTTAAAAAACAGGCCTACTTGTTTTCATTGCTGGCATCATAGCGTGGAGTTGGGTCTTCGTCATCCCCATTGACATCATAGCTTGCACGAGGGTCCTGAAAGAAACAGAGGGAGTTGTTCACGTTAGACAAACTAAGAAGTGATTGCCAGGAACAAGCTTGTACCAGGACAAGAGACACTCTGGCAGGATAGAGGTTCTTACAAACAACACAGTTTATAGGATATAAATGTTAAATTAATAAAACTCACTATCAGTTGCAACAGATATTACTAGGCTATATGGGGCAAAAGGTTGGGCCTGATGTAAAGGTAGCTTCTTATGAGGTCCCCCATTCTGCCTTTTTTCTGCCAGAAAAAGAAGCAAAACTCTAGGACAAGGGTAGGGTTCCTGTGGCCCTCTAAATGTTGCTGAACTACAACTCCCACCACTCCTGAGAATTGGCCATGCTTGCTTGGGCTGACACGAACATCTCTGCTCTAGGTGATGAAGAGGGCTTGGTCAAAAAGAAAAAAAATTCAAGCGGGGCTTTTAAAGCACATTCAGCTCTCCAAACAAAGCACAACACCACTTTTAATGAAAAGCCCACATGCCGCTTGAGATGCCCCATTAACACTAATGAGAAACGCCAGGGATTCAATCTGATAACCGGGCATTCCTATTTTTTACATTTCCTCATCTGAGGCTATAAGGAGCCAGTAAGCATCAAGCAAATGTCAATTCCAGAGCGCTGACTTCATCGTGCTCTCACAGATGTCCAGCCCAATTCTGAAAGCAGGTAAGCGTGCAAATTCAACACGCTTGCAACCCAACTCTCCTCAGCGGCTTAGTTCACCTCACAGGATATTTTTTCTCCTTTATGGAAGCCAATAGACAATACAATGCATTTAGAGTATGGGTGGGAGGAAATTGTTTTGAGTTATTCATTTAGGGCTGTGGCATTTTATTTATTAAATTAGTTGGTTAGTTGATTATTTTTTTTTAAAAAATCCTGAAATGAGATTATGCTCTGGAGGGCCCATGCATGACACAGAGGCCTCTGAGCCACTCCCTTATTTTGTGCTTGGAGAGATACCTATCAGATGAATCTATGGCGTGACTGCATTTGGAATATTGTGTGCAGTCCTCGTTGCCTCATCTCAAGCAGGATATTGCAAAGTTGGAAAAGGTTCAGAAAAGAGCAACCAAAATGATCAACGAGGAAAGGCTGCAGCAAGGGGGACTTTTTAGTTGAGAGGAAAGGTGAGCCAGAGGTGACATGACAGAAGCTTATAAAATAATGCACAGCACGGGGAAAAAGTAGACAGAGAAAAGTTTTTCTTCCTCTGTCATAGCACTAGAACTTGTGGACATCCAATGAAGCTGTATGTTGGAAGATTTGGGACAGAGAAAAGGAAGCACTTCTTTGTGCAACGCATATTTAAGCTATGGAACTTGCTCCCATGGCCAGCGATTTGGAGAGCTTTAAAAGAGGATCAGACAATTTCATGGAGGATAAAGCCATCAGTGGCTACAATGGCTATTCTCTGCTTCTGAATACCAGTTGCCGGAGGGTGCCTGGGAAGACCAACAGGGTTCCTTTCTTAATGCCCTTAAGTCAGTCTTTCTGATAATCTAGATCAGGGGTAGGCAACCTAAGGCCCGGGGTCTGGATGCGGCCCAATCGCCTTCTCAATCTGGCCCACGGACAGTGCGGGAATCAGCATGTAAAAGGACAGTAGAATGTGTCCTTTTATTTAAAATGCATCTCTGGGTTATTTGTGGGGCATAGGAATTCATTCATATATTTTTTCCAAAATATAGTCCGGCCCCCCACAAGATCTGAGGGATGGTGGACCAGCCTACAGCTGAAAAAGGTTGCTGACCCCTGATCTAGATGCTCCTCCCCGTCGGCCACGCTGGCTATGGCTGATGGGGGCTGGAGTCCAATAGCGTTTGGAAGGCCACAGGTTCCCATACCCTTGACTTATTCAAATATCATGGTTCTGATAACACCAAGGTTGCAGGTTCGATTCCTGGATGGGACAGCTGCGTATTCCTGCATTGCAGGGGGTTGGAGGACTAGACAATCCACAGTGTCCCTTCCAACTTTACAGTTCTATGATTCTTTGTGGTCCATAGGCAGTCTCCTGTCAATGCAGAACGTAACTGAATCAAAGCCCAAGTTACCAATTTCCAACCTTTGCTCAGAAGCACGTTCAATAGGACTCACTTCCAAGCACCATTTTACAGTGGACGCTTGGGTTGCGAACGTGATCCATGCAGGAAGCACGTTCGCAACCCACAGCGTTTGCAACCCGCAGTGCCGCGTGTGCGCATGCGCAGGTTGCGATTTGGTGCTTCCGCACATGCGCAAAGCGTGATTTAGCGCTTCTGCGCATGCACAGCCGCCGAAACCTGGAAGTAACCCCTTCCGGTACTTCCAGGTTTTGGCGCGTCCGTAACACGGAAAAACGCAACCTGAAGCATCTGTAACCCGAGGTATGACTGTATAGGACTGCGGTCTTGAGGGCTAGTGTAAAAGAGGTGATCCAAGGGTCTCCAGCTTTACTTACATAGTTCTGCACAAGATCAGGGTGGTGCTTCTCTATGCCATCGTCGAGAATGGTTACCACGACGTCTTTGCCAGTATATCCTCTCTGCCAGGCTGCTAGGACGTTCATTTCTGACCTGCAGTCGCTGTTGTTGTCTTCGCAGTGCTGAGGGCAAAGGCAGCAGTCGGTTAGCCGTTTCTTCCTCATACAGACCAGCAAGCAACACTCCGCACGGCTAAACAAGCAAATTTAAAAGCTAGGATAGGGGAAGGGCTGTAGCTCAGGGGTGGAGCATCTGCTTAGTATGCAGAAGCTCCCAGGCTCAACTCCTGGCATCTCCAGGTACGGCTGGGAGAGAACAGTATCTGAAACCCTGGAGAGCTGCTGCCAGTCAGTGTAGACAGTACTGATTCAGATGGAACAATGGTCTAACTCAGTGTAAGACAGCTTCCTGGGCAGAAAGCCAAATTCAGTGGATTGGTCCTTCTTGCCAAGGCTACCCCTAGAAGCTAGGAGGTTTAAATGTCCCATCCAGCCTTGTGATGTGCTCTGTCCATCAATCGAAGGCAGCCTTGTAAAACAGCAACTAGCCAAGTCTTCAGAACCAGCTGCATAGGTTTTTAACTTGTAACCCAACTTAATGCACACAAATCTAAGCATTTTGAAGCATCTAAGATTAGGTTTCACATCCTATTTTTATTTATAAGGAATACTATGAGCAAAATCCCAGTTCATGAGAAGAGAAGACTCCCTGGAAAAGACCCTGATGCTGGGAAAGATGGAGGGCACAAGGAGAAGGGGATGACAGAGGACGAGATGGTTGGACAGTGTTCTCGAAGCTACAAACATGAGTCTGACCAAACTGCGGGAGGCAGTGGAAGACAGGAGTGCCTGGCGTGTTCTGGTCCATGGGGTCACGAAGAGTCGGACACGACTAAATGACTAAACAACAACAATGAGCAAAATGGGAAATTGACCTGGGTCGACATTTACGTTATGATTATTTTTAATTTGTACTTAAGCCTGCTTACTATGTCGGTAGTTTTATTTGTTAGTTTTTTTCTTTTTCTTCTTTGTATCTTTTCTAAAAGGCAATCTGTATAAAGTGTGATATTGTATCAGGCTGAATTTATTGACTGCACTCTGCTGATTTAGAGTATTTTGTATACACTATCCTGATTTTCAATGAATAAAATATATTTTTAAAGATAAATAGCCACTTTTTCTGGAATCAAATAACAATGAGTGCTAAACATGCTCTGTGTGGCATTAGTTTTCCAGAGGCGGCTTTTACATTGTGCAAAACCTCAAATGCAACGTGGAAATTAACAGTTAGGGAAATGTGAAGAAATGGAATAAACTGCCGTGTGAATGCAGCACAAACTGGGAAGAGGAGGTATAGAGTTGCAAGGGCCAGATACAGAAGCTCGGAGGGCCACATTAGGACACACATTCACCCTCACAGTCTTGCCACTCCTAAACAGCAGTGGAACAGCAACAGGAGGGAATGTGTGATTCTGTGATGCCAAAAGACTTTTGCAAGATTCCCAAAATATGCATAATACGAAAACACACACACACAGTGAATGTATAGTTACCATGTACCACATTTCAGGCCAGAGTGGGTCATTGAAGGAAACAAAATGGTGGTCACGCCGAACGCGTCTTTTGACTCTTCGTTTAACTTCCTGTTGTTGCAGCCACCTTACCTAGAAAAAAAAAATTAAATAGCAGTGTTTCACAGGAATGCTTGGGGTTTTTTAACAGCAGCATCAATAAGAAAATATTTGTTTGCTTTGACATCTAAATCCCAGTTCTTGCCATATGGCTCACAAATTGCTTATTAACTCTGTTTGTACGACCAGCCAACAACATACGCTCACAAAGATTAAGAGAATAAATTGTAACATTAAAAATACAATAAAGGAAGCATTCAAATTGTTCTTTCTGGCAATTAAACAAGAAGGCACAAATCAGAAAAATGGGATGCCCAGATTATGAAAACACATCATATCAAAAGAAGTTCCATTGAAATCAATGGACTCTACATTAGGTCTACTCTGACTCTCACTAACGTTGTGTATCATCCACGTTGTTGAAAGTAATAATATACATACAAATGCACAAAACCTTAAAACATCAAAAATGAACCTAACAACCTAATATGCATCTTTTTTCACCCAGCAAGCATTCAATACGAACTAACAACATTTTCTGCAATTGAATTAATCAGTATCTGTTGTTTTGAAACTTGACTTTGTCTAGATTTATAGGCTTTTTTGTGTACAGTATGACGATTTTGCAAGCAAAATATGTAGAGATATGATTTTGTTGCCTTAATCTCCCTATCTTAATACTGTATTGTTCTTGGGAATAATTTGACCCAGGCTTCTCTCTATTCTGTTTGATTTAACTATTCTTGTACTCTTATGCTAGAAGCAATAAACCTTTGAGAATTTTTTTTCTTTTAATGAACCTAGCTAATTAACAAAGCCTAACTTATCCATGCCTACCCACAAGCCCTAACAGTACCAAAAAACTGTTTGCTACTAATCTGTTCAAAACAACAAAAGAGGTCTGGTGGGCCTACTAGAGGTAGGGAATTCTACAAAAGTTCGCCACAGAAAGTGCTCTCTTCCTTTGCTTTCATTGCCTGCAATGAAAACGCCTTTCCATTTTATTGAGGTGCCTATCTTAACCTCATCAGAATGACACTAGACATCAAGGCCATTTGTCTAATTAAAAGCAGTTTCAAGCTGCTCATCCTGTGCATACTGTTTTTCTAAGGAACCGTCTGCCTTTTTCCGGTTTTTGCCATTTTTTAATGGGTTTCTCTTCTTAAACCTAAACAAATCCCAGTACAAAGAAGCACCAACGTAATTCTTAAGAGCAGTGGGTGCTTAGAGCCAAAACAAAAAAAACCCTACTTCAAACACAAACCACAGAAGAAAAATGAAAGTCGGTTAAGAGGGCCTCAGTGAGTTTTGATAACAAAAGTCGAGATAAAAATTCTAGAATGCTCCCCTTTGCTCTGAAGTAGCTTTTGATAGAGCAGATGTTCCACAGCTGTACAGACCCCTCCACAGAACATTAACAAGATAAATTAGATTATAGGCATGCTGTATACCAAAAGTATGAGGTTTAAAGCAAATGTTTATTCATCGGAACAGATCGGAATTATAATACAACTCCACTGAATTAATGCAAACTTCCCTGCTCAAGTACATAAGAGAATTAATCCTCCACATCCCCAGCTTCTTACAAGGACAGTTTCATCAAGGAAAGGAGTCATGAAAATCTGGGATTAGTCTCCAAGGTGGGAAGGACCCCCGAGGGGACTCAAAGGATCTGAAGTGGATTCTCAGCAAGGGAGAACATTTCCGACACACGGATTAGCCTAAAGTTTCTGTAATAATAAATAGGAATCCCTGGGTGGGGGAAGGCCGGTTGTGACCTTTTGAAACGCAAGAGCTGAGAAACAACGTGAACCAGACATTTAATGTGCTCAACCAACTCTTGAGTTATTGTTTTAAAGGATTATCGGCACTTTCACCCCTTCAAGCCTCAGAAGCTTAGAAATATAAGAAACCTCAAAGGTTTGATTGGGGGGGCATTAAAAGCAGGGTTTGGGGGTTCTCTCTCTCTTATGTTGTTTAAGATGATGAGAATAATATAGTATTTCCATAACACACTTGTCTAGGTTATTTCCTGCCAAGACACACAGCTCCTGTCAAGCTGGGGAGCAGGATGGGACTGGGAAAATTGATGGCTAGTACAGTACAAAGCAAAGGCAGCCTGAAGTCTGCTAAAAGGCACTCACAATTGTCTAATTAATCAGGCCTAGCAAACGAGCCTAACCCAGAAGGTTTTATTCAGCAAGGAAAATCACTTGACCTATTAGGACTTATTGCTGTCCCCTTCTTCAATTTGGCCAGAGGTGGTGGACACGTTACGTAAACCTTGTCTCACCCCAACACCCCTTGGGTACCAGCTTCACATACAGGGAGTGGGCTTCATGTCCAACAACAAAGCAGAGGCAGTGTTACGTAGTGGTTACAGTGATTGACTAGGACTGGGAAGACCCGGGTCCAAATCCCCAGTCAGCCATGAAGCCAACTGGGTGACACTGGGCCTGTCACTCCCTTATAATACTAATAATATGAATACTACCACTGATAATAGTAATAATTCTATTTTTTGTACCCTGCCCATATGACTGGGTTGCCCCAGCCACTCTGGGCTGCTTCCAGAAACATAATAAACACAGAATTACAGAAACATAATAAAATCTTCCCTATACAGGGCTGCCTTCAGATGTCTTTTAAAGGTTGTATAGTTGTTAATCTCCTTGACATCTGATGGGAGGTCATTCCACAGGGCAGGTGCCACTACTGAGAAGGCCCTCCTCTGCTTGGTTCCCTGTAACTTCACTTCTCACAGTGAGGGAACCACCAGAAGGCCCTCAGAGCTGGACCTCAGTGTCTGGGCTGAATGATAGGGGTGGAGAGGCTCCTTCAGGTATACAGGGCCGAGGCCATTTAGGGCTTTAAAGGTCAGCAGCAACACTTTGAATTGTGCTTGGAAACATACTGGGAGCCAATGTAGGTCTTTCAGGACAGGTTTTATATGGCCCTGGCGGCCGCTCCCAGTCACCAATCTAGCAGCCGCATTCTGGATTATAACCCCATAACCTAAGAAGAATCTCACAAGGTTGTTGAGAAGATAAACGTGAGGTCGAAGAGTAAAACTGTGTGCGCCGCTCTGAGCTCCTTGGAGAAGAGGCAAGGTAAAAATGTAATACAGTGGTACCTCGGGTTACATACGCTTCAGGTTACAGACTCCGCTAACCAAGAAATAGTACCTCGGGTTAAGAACTTTGCTTCAGGATGAGAACAGAAATTGCATGGCAGCGGCGCGGCAGCAGCAGGAGGCCCCATTAGCTAAAGTGGTGCTTCAGGTTAAGAACAGTTTCAGGTTAAGAACGGACCTCCGGAATGAATTAAGTACATAACCAGAGGTACCACTGTAAATAAATGCAGAACAAGAGATGGTGGCTTTGAATTTTGTTGTGCGTAAGGAAGACTGAGCAGGCCCGCATGAGTGACAGTTACTGACAGCAGCGACAACCTCATATCTCCTCCTCAAAATGTCCCCCCAAAAAGACGAGCCTTGGCCAGACGCCTGAAGCTATAAAAAGGTGAGGCGAGATACACCTCCACAGGGAGAGAGTTCCAGGGGAGGCTGGTGCCCATTGGGGTGATTTGAAGCAGCTGCCTTGGGTGGCAGAATCCCATGGGGCAGCGCAGGCCTCCTTCTCTCAGGGGTGATGGAGGGGAGGACG